CAGAAACTACCAGGAAGCTGAGAAAAAGCAGCTGTTGCAGAGAGGAAAACAGTACCTGGCGTGCAGAGCACAGACAATCTCCAACACAGAGACATTTCAGTCTAAAAAAAGAGACAGAAGGACCTCTCCCTGAAGCTGCTTCATGCTTCAGCTCCCAGTGGCTTTCACTTCCTGCTCGATTCAGATAATGCTGTTTTCTTGAAATAATTTGAGTAAGTTACTGTCCTCTGTGATCTGAGTTCCTTCATTCCACCGCATCTTTCAACCAAAAGAGGCCCTCAGCACCAAGGGTGCCTATGCTATGGTTTCAGTTATTTGTGATCACTTTCTTTCTTTCTTTTTTTTAAGATTTTATTTATTTATTCATGACAGAGAGAGAGAGAGAGAGAGAGAGGCAGAGACACAGGCAGAGGGAGAAGCAGGCTCATGCAGAGAGAGCTCAACGTGGGACTCAATCCCGGGTCTCCAGGATCACACCCCGGGCTGAAGGCGGCACTAAACCACTGGGCCACTGGGGTTGCCCTGAACACTTTCTTAGCATGCCATGGACTAAGACATATCAAAAATAAGGATTCCTTTAATGGTAAAATCTTAATAGGCACCACTGCTAAAAACTTCAGCATTTATTTTGTCAAGCTCTAGATCCAAGGCTGGAAGGAAAGCTCAAAGGAGGAGTAAGCAGAGTTAAGCAGGTAACTAAAATGTAACTAAAAACAAACAAATAAAATAAAGGAAGGTGTACCAGTCCCAAGAGAACTTGAAATACCACTTATGGTAACTGGTCATTCTGTGTGAGATGACATCAAATGGGGGCACCTACAAGTTCCACATACCCGCCCTCCCCCTGGAGAAAGCTTATTCTAAAACAACATGCCAGGATACTCTGGGAGCCAAAGCCAAAAGCACCACCTGCCGGTCCTTGTGAGACGAACTAACCCAGTGTCTCCTCATGTTCATCCTACTTCCTCCACTGGGAGGTCATCTATAATCCAAACATTCCTTTGCACTCCAGCCCAGTCCCACTTCAATCTCTCATAACTCACTTAATTCCACATTAATGTCTTATAAATAACTGTACAACCCCAAAAACCTACTTCTCTCTTTCTTCCTCCTTCCACTAGAGTTAATCATCTTAGAAGTCATTGGCTTCCTTCTCTCTATCTTGTGTTCACTGGGAATAAGACAACATTCAGATCATAGCTGTAATTATAAAACTATTATAAATAATCATGATCAAGGAAGGGACAGCCAAAGGCTAGAAGTTCAATATATGAAAGAACCAATGCCATAACCCAAAATCCTCAGAAATGTCCAGATCTGGTCTCAAAACAGCCACACAAGTATCCATACAATAGCTTCATATTTCTCTGGCTTAATATGCATTGTCTGATACCATAAAAACATTCAAAATAATAACTTTAAATGCTCTTCAATTTTAGATTTTAATTATCAGTATAAATATGATTTGTATCTTTCTACTCAAAATATTTCTATTATGTCACTATCAGCATGGTATTAATATTTTCTTTCTACTATATGTTTCAATGAGTAGTTTTAAATTTTTTCAATAAATTTGCAGAACACATTCCTTCAAATTCTTATACAGAAGCCAAATTGCCCAGCAAGGCAGGAAGGTGAGGCTGAGGAGAGAGGGAACAAAGTTGTCCTGGTCTGATCTCTTTCCCTTTTTCCTCCACAGAGATCCAGGGGACCTGTACAGAACTACAGTGCTATACAGGCCAAAGCAAGCTGTAACCACCAGCCTTTTTTTTATGTGTGCCTTTGTAAAGCTACTGCTTTTATGCAGCTTTGTAAAGCTACTGCTTTTATGAGTAACCTTTGTAAAGCCATTGCTCAAGTGATTCTCTTCCCATTGGTTTCCCAACTGCCATCTCAAGCACCCCTTTCACAGTCTCCCCCACAGTTCTCTAGGTTTGGGTCTCCCTTTTGGGTTGACCTGAACCCTAAAATGTTCAGATCAACATTTTATAATTGGTAGGTTGGCTATTTTATTTTGTTTGTAAGCATATACTTTTAAGATCTTTCAAAACAGGACACAGTTCTAATATTTTAAACACAGAGTACCCAGTATCAGCAACATATTTAATATTTCCATAACTAAGAAGATACTTAAAAATATAGTATTAACAATAATTTCTGGGCAAGCTTCTATTACTTGCTTCCTAATTTTTAGAAAGATGAGATGCAAAATAATTTTTAAAGTCCTAAAAACAGTTACTGACAAAGATTTACTATAATTGAGAAGATAATGTTTTTCTCAAATTTAATCAAGAATTATAGCCTGCTTCTAAGCCCACTGTCATAAGGGAGAACTGCTTCTTTTGTTCTAGTGTACTTCCAAACTCATACACATAATATTGAATATATTTATTGACATGTCTATTTAATTGTAAGTTCCGTGAACAGAAGACAGTTTATCTTATTCATTGTAGTATCTCTAGTTATCTACCATAGTGCCTAATACATAGTAGACGCTCACCATATAGTTCTTAAAAATATAAAAATAACTCCTCAAAATTCACTACTATTGTTAACTATTCAACCAGCTAAACATTTAATATATCAATTTATTTTTAACAATTAGATTTTTCTTTTATTTACTTATGAGAGAGAGAGAGAGCAAGCATGAGCCAGGAGAGGCGCTGAAGGGGAGGGAGAGGGAGAGGGAGAGGGAGAGGGAGAGGGAGAGGGAGAGGGAGAGGGAGAGGGAGAGAGAGAGAGAGAGAGAGAGAGAGAGAGAGAGAAAGAGAGAGAGAATCTCTTAAGCAGACTCCACCTTGAGCATAGAGTCTAAAGTGGAGCTTGATCCCATGACCCTGATTATGACCTCAGCCAAAAGAGTCAGACCCTCAAGGGACTCAACCCAGGTGTTCTGACAGATTTTAAGCTATTTTCCAGATATACTTTCACTGCAAAAAGTACACCTTTACTAAAGATTCTCAGCTTTGTTTTTTCATTCTATTTCAAGGCAGCATCAAAAATTTCATTAAGACTCTAAAATTCAGATATGAGAAGTCACAATCTATTTCTGATTAGCACTTTTGATTACTTACAAGTCCTTCATATCCATCAAGGAAGGAAAGAAGGAAGGAATGAAGAAATGAAGGAACGAAGGAACGAAGGAAGGAGATATGGAGAGAGAGAAGAGAGAGAAAGGAGAAGCCTCTTGAAAAATGAAAGAAATCAGAGACTTGTATGGGATGTTTGTGTTCCAGTCCACTCTCCTCACATCTTCCTTACCTAACTCCCCAATCTACTCATAGAACCTTGCAGCCTCACTTTCTTGACAGGAAGGTCCTGTTCACATGGCTAAATGTGCTACCATCACGCTTCAAGTCCATGTGGAGACACTTTAGCTAAAATGACACTCCAGGGCAGCCCCAGTGACTCAGTGGTTTAGCGCCACCTTCAGCCCAGGGCGTGATCCTGGAGTCCCAGGACAGAGTCCCACGTCGGGTTCTCTTCATGGAGCCTGCTTCTCCCTCTGCCTGTGTCTCTGCACCGCCCCCCCCCCCCGTGAATAAATAAAATATTTTTTAAAAATTTTTTTAAAAAATAAAAGAACACTCTAGAACTCTCCCAGAACTCTTCCCTCTCATGCGGGCAGAAGGACTTCTGAGGTTGCTAGTTTGAGCTCCTTGCTCTCTTTCTCTCAGCCACCCTGGATGCATATCTTCTGGTCTACTTCTCCATGCATGAAGGCACCTGTCCTGAGGGGAGGCCTGCAGTTGCTCAGCTGTGCTAGTCATCCAGGGGGTAAGTCTCAGTCAAGTTAGGCTAATAAGCCCTTTCACTTCAGATTGAATGTCATGTCCTCAGATCAGCCAATGGAGAGGATATTTTGATCTTCATCCACGGGTCTCTTGTGTCTCACTTCTCAAGGAGAAGAAACAGTATCACCACTGGTTCCCTAGAACTCCCCAGATCAGTCTAGAAACTCCTACGTTTATGTGTAAGGTGATTCATAAAGAAAAAGGAGATGGAGTGATGTAACAATATTTAAATACCATTACTACCGATGAGAAGCATAATTACTAGTTGTTGAATATGAGTGCAACTCCCACATTTGGGGGCAGGGTTGAATGAGAAAATTGCCAACAACAGATACTTAGAACCAAGACAAGCTCATGAGTCATTTTACTCATTTAAATCCGCCTACAGTTGCTGGCAAACTCAGGATTATACCTTAGCTGCTTTTCCAGCAGTGTAATTGTTTCAGAAGATGACACAAGACTCACTGGTAACAACTCCCTGTTTGTGGATACTTTATAACCTGTCTAGTGAGAGTTTCCTATGTGTCAGACACTGTGTTTGAGCATTTACTCACATAATCTCACACATAATCCTCACACAGCCTACTCAGATAGTTGTATGTCTACCCCCAGTTTATGCGGAGCCTGAGGTACAGAGAGGTTAAGGCATTCTGGTTCTATGGGAAGTAAGCAGTAGAGCAGGACTTAAAAGTCAAGGCTGTCTGACTTCAAAGCCTTCTTTCTAACCACCAAGCTATACTGCTGAAGTACAAATGGATAACCTTTTTCTATTTCTTCTCATCTCTGCTAGTCCTTACATTTCTTAGAAACAAATCTATCAAAAAAAGAAAGAAAGAAAGAAAGAAAGAAAGAAAGAAAGAAAGAAAGAAAGAAAGAAAGAAAGAAAAAAAGAGAGAGAGAAAGAACAAAGAAAGAAAGAAAGAAAGAAAGAAAGAAAGAAAGAAAGAAAGAAAGAAAGAAAGAAAGAAAGAAATCTATCTGTGATTCCTATGGATTCTTAACCGGTGCTTTCTGCTTTCCAGTAGCCTTCTAAACTTACCACACTAACTTGTCTACTATTTGTCCAAAATGGACTCCAATAACGTAGAGAGTCCAAGAACTATTTATATGAAATATTCTTTGTGATCCTAAGCAACTGTACCTCCCATATTACATTTTAAATTGTATGCTTCAGGATAATAATAGGAAATGTTCAAGAAACATGCAGTGCTTGCTTCAGCAACACACATACTAAAAATTGGAATGATACAGAGAGGATTAGTATGGCCCTTGCACAAAGACAACAGGCAAATCCATGAAGCAGTCCCAGAAATCATACAAATAAAACCAAAAAACCTGCAAAACTATTTGACAGACAAATCACTATATGGATAATAAAGTTAACTCTGCTAAAACACTTTATGCATTTAGTAGATACTAACTTACATGCCCTCACAATTAATTTCTATGATTATGGAAAGAATTCTGTTGAATCTACTTCACTTAACTGACTTTCACAACTCTTTCAGCTCATTCAGAACTGTAAGAATGTACAGTTATATTCACTACAAGTTCATGTTGAATCCAGCCCAATGGGTACTTACAAGAAATGATGCAACTATACCAGATTCTTGTAGACCACTTGGAAGACAAAGAGGATGGAAGAGAATTCAAAGAATGTCCACCCTAGTAGCACATAACTAATTCCACAGATAATTTGGCAAACCCTATTCTCAACCTAATGGTAACTTTTCCACTTCTTAAATCAAAAATTATATGCAAATAACAAACTGTGCCTAAAATGGCATACAATAACAAGAATTCAGTATCACTTAGGACACAGTAGCACACAGAAAGAACCGCATTAACACATTTTTTAAAAAGTATGAGCCATGCAAGTATGATCTGGTCCCTGAATGGCCCTTAGGTTCAAATTGGAATATAGGCCATCGAGGAGTTTCTGGGTGGCTCAGTCACTGAAGTGTCAGATTCTTAAGCTCAGCTCAGGTCTTGATCTCAGGGTTGTGAGTTCAAGCCTTGCACTGAGCTCTACAATGGGCATAGGGCCTAATTAAAGAAAAAAAGAAAGAAAGAAAGAAAAAAGAACATAAGGTCATTGAATGCCAGCAACTTGGGAAATATAAATATAGGTGTTCATATCACACTAAAGCTGTTATTCATTCAAATAATTTTTTTAAAAGGTGCCCTAAGCTCCAAGCACAGCACCACATAATTCTCATAACATAGAATTGCATTCACCAACACACCTAACAAATCCCAAGAATATTATATATGCATATCTCACATTTGTATGTGTGTTTAATATAACATGTATTCTTTACATTGTTACTGTGACAGTAATTTTGTGTTAGGGTGTCTTGTATAAGTGAGATTTATTTTACATAACAAACACCGAAAGTGCTATACACATAAGTGAGATTTATTTTACATAACAAACACCGAAAGTGCTATACACATGAAAGTCACTAATCAGGAGACCAGATAAAATAAATAACCAACTAAGTCTGGTTCATAATAACACCTAGCATTCATTCTGCACAATCTAAACATCTTATGTATGTTATTTCATGTAATGACCTCACATCCAAACTTTGAGGTAGGTATCATTATTGCTCATTTAACAGATAAGAAAATTGTTGGGTTAATTAACTTGCAAAGATCACACAGCTTTGAAGTTGTAGAAGTGGCACTCAGACAAAGGCAATAAGGCCTCAGAGTACTCTTAATCACTCCACGTAATCTTTGAATAAATGAAACGGCAAGCATATGAACAAAGGTTGGTCAAGAGAATCTGTCCACAAGGGATCCTCAAAGTAGCATTAAATCAGGGCAAGAGACTGAGGGAATGCCCTCCCATCAATAGGAAGCCAAGGAGGTATTTTTCAAGAGAAAATTGGCCAGAAGCTGTAGTGAAAATGAAGGCTGCTCAGAAGGAAGAATGTGCTTATTAATAGCTCACGTTATTGAGCTTTTATTACCCAGCAGGCACTGTGCTAGGTACATACAATATCTCACTGAATACTCAAACAGTCCTATTTACATTGTACAGATGAGAAAATGAAACTTAAGAGGCCAATGAAACATAAGAGGCCAACTTGTCCAAAGCTACCTAAGTGTCAAAGCCTCAATTCAAGTTCCTATCTGGAAGGCCACAAAGCCTGTATTCTTGCCCATTATGCTACAAAAGTTAAGAGAAAAAGAGAATATGCCTGCATATCTGCAAATTAATAAGATAGAAGCTACCAAGAAATGTACCAGGAAGTGGGTTAACTGAGTCAGTGTTAGCTCAAACCTATACATGCTGGTTGTGTTTCCACAAGTGAATATCCTCCTCCAATAAAAAAAAAAATCTTCCCAGATCTGAAAATGATGACTTCCCAAAATTACTTATTCCTGTGCACTTTCAGATACTCAAGTGCCCAAAGTTCCCCTCCACTGATAACAGAAAGCTACCATAGAGTTTTATGCACATAAAATGCATTTTCCTAGTTTCTGATTACAAACAAGGAAGCAAAAGTTTCAAAATGTTAAATTGGAGCAGCTCAATATTGATACAATTAATCTCTCTCTCTCTCTATTTTTAATGCTTTACTAGCTCCCAATCACCAGACCCCAGGCAGGGAGCAGGGAAACATGGGCTCCCTGCCAATGGTTTTTAGTTACCGTTGATTTATACCCTCTATTCAATATAACCTAGTCCTATATTTATTTTTTTAACCCCTTTTGACTATATCTTTTATTTCCCTAAGTACAACACATAAGTTCTTCAGTATAAAGATTCATTAATTCTATATCATATCAAACTTTAAAAAAACATTTCCAACATACCTATTACTGGCAATTTGTTGCATATAAATACTGTACAAAACACTCCAACTCTCATCACTGGCACTTGAAAAATGTTAATGTTTCATCATTTTCAAAGCTCCTGAAGGTCATCACTTGTAACAATTGCTAATTTTCCTTAGGAATGAAACTAAATCATGGACTGTGTATATGAAAGCAGGTCACCTGGCCGTCAAGTGAGCCTAGATGCCTAGCTCGTGCCTATCAAAGTAGCTTTGTTTTTCTCTCATTTCACAAACAGCAAATCCCATGGTGGGAGTAAAATAAAACCAAAGCAAAACACAAAATTTAGCGGCCTCAAAAAGAAAGTAAATAATATTTTGGAAGTATTTCTAATTTGCTACAGCAAGGTTCACAATAGTGCATATAACATCCTGTTGGTGGTTAGGGATACACATAAATACCCAAAATTAACAGTGGCTGTCCTGGGGAGATTAAAGCTACATAATGGAAAGGACACATATTTTTCAATGGATAACCTTTGGTACACCTTGAGTTGTTTACCATGTATATGTACCGCCTTATCAAAATATAAAATTAAAAATGTTAACAACTGTAAAGATAATTAATGTGAGGAGAAAGACCCCTCCCCTCAACAAAAGGTTGAAGACTTCATACTACTCCAGTGTAGCTCCCTCTACTCAAGCAAATGTTCCTTTCTCTACCACACCCTTCTTCTAGCCTGCAGGGACCTGAAACATGAAAGGCGCTAGTACAGTGCCACCTCAGCTTTTATGATAGAATGCCTTCATCTTCCAATTTTCCTTACTGTTCTAAAGGAAGGAAAGGAAGAATGTAAATTCAAAGTGATAAAAAACTATACCATGTGCATAACTAATTCCTTCCCATAACCACAAGAAAACCAATTAGCAATTTCTCCTCTAACAAGCCATTCAGGCAAAGGTGCTCTGACAGTGCAGAAAGAGGAAAATTAAGAATCTATATCTTACCTTCTGGAAATATGAATAGAAAGCCAGGCAAAACATGTCTTTATCCAACACAATGATTTGAAACAGTATTTTACTAAAAATGGCAAAAATTAAAGATACAAATGTTTAAGTTTTTAAATTTTAGGCTATTGTGGGCTAGTTCAAACACTTTACAAGTAAATATACAAGCCTGGGGGCCTCTGGCTGCCCCAGGTGGTATAGCACGTGACTCTTGACCTCAGGGTCCAATTGAAGTCCCACGTTAGGCATTGAGCTTACTTAAAAAAAAAAAAAAAAAGCACAAGCCAAATAAAATTTATGGAAAAACCTTCCTCAGCAAATCACATTACAACTTTCCTAACCAATTCACTTATATTCAATGGGATTTTTATTGCTGACAAATCTAGGTTGTTTCTGAAATGGATGTCTCCTAGAACTTTCATTTATAGTGTTCTTGAAATGCCTTTAAAGCCTTTTAGAAGGTATTTTTTTTCCCTTAAACTCTTTTTTTTCCATATGACACTGATCTTGTCAAATGCAGTTTTGCCAACAGCAGTTCTTTTCAAGAACATAACTTTAATAAACTTGCTGACAAATGGATTACATTACCATCATTGTGAATGGCAAGCTACTTTAACTGACCATTTTTAATACAGGCAATCTAATGAGTTCCTTGGTTTCCAATGAAACCATCAATGCTTTGACAATTTCACAAACTCACTGTGGACCAAGGCTCTTTGCAGGTACCGAGAAACACAGATTATTAAGACATACTATCTGCCTTCAAGATGTTTACAACCTTGTAAATGAATAAAAGAATCATTAGCATAAGAGATGCGTTCCCTACAGGACCTTACCAGCAAGGAGAGAAAGGCAAAAGTCACAATCTTTCTTAAAGCATATCACACAATCTGCAGGGGACAACTATGTTACCACACTAATGCAAACTGTTCTTAATTCTTAACACAACTGGAAAAGTGCAGAGCATCTAAAGAATTAATTATTAGGACTGATTATCTAAAGGTAGAACAGAATTTTAATGAGTTCATTTTTGTTTATCTCAACACTATGGATTTTTCTTCTAGGAGATGCCTTCAGTTTGACTTATATCCCTCTAGAAATTTAATGACACATCTAGAAACCAGAAGCTCAAATTGCTTGGCAAGTATACTGGAATGCCAACACAAACCAAAGTTAATTGCCTACTTTCTTCTAAATGCTATCAAGCACCTTAAATCTTTTGGAAAGTACGGTTATCTTTATTTACAACATGCTTTATTTTTTTTTTTAATTTTTTTTTTTTAATTTTTATTTATTTATGATAGTCACAGAGAGAGAAAGAGAGAGAGGCAGAGACATAGGCAGAGGGAGAAGCAGGCTCCATGCACCAGGAGCCCGATGTGGGATTCGATCCCGGGTCTCCAGGATCGCGCCCTGGGCCAAAGGCAGGCGCCAAACCGCTGCGCCACCCAGGGATCCCTATTTACAACATGCTTTAAAACAAAGTGTTTTCCTACTGAATTATGCCTGGAATATGTG